TTTTTTTCTGGTTCTCTGGAGGATATAGCAGCGTTAGGGACTGTAAAAAAATACATAAAAAATTGCCAAGACAGATTTGCATTCATGACCACTTTTTAGACTAAATGTGCCACTCCCAAAAAAGCAATTAAGAACCTTACATAACAAAATGAAATGACATAATTTAGGAATCTTGTAAATCCAGTTAAACAAATGAAAGAGTATTTGTTTGTAGTTTCGCCATACAGACCAACACCCACAATAATCACAATGAATAATTAATTGCTTGCATAACTGTCAAATCCTGAGGTGATTCTCCCCTGTTTTTACATAATATAGCTACAATGTTTTTTAGATATGAAAACAGTGAAATGAAGATTAATTCATTCGGAGAATGATTTTGAGAATGGCATTTTGTTGTCCATTTTAGGTCTTTTCTGAATTTAAGGCATCTTAAAAGATATACTTTTCCTCTGACCAATTACATATTTTATATTAAAAAACAAAGCAACCCTGAATATGATCTATGATTAAGAATTTTTTGGTTAATTTTTATACATTTGCTTTGGCCTTAATACGTTGTTACCAGTTATTGTAACATAATCTGTACTTCACATGGGTTTCTAAATATACTCACTGATGTCCACAGGCTCTCATCTATGGGCTTACATTTCTGCCACAATTCTGCGCGCGAAAGATCATATTTTGAGCGCACAAAAGTGTATTTTGCACGCGCGCGATCTGAGTTTGTGGAGAAAATGTTCGTTTCGCAAAGAAAAAAGTAGAGCTGTTGGCATTTAGCAGCACTGAGGGCGGGCATCAGGTCAGCAAGCTAGTGAAACGTTGCGCGCGCAAAAGAGAAGGTCTGCACACATCCAAAAACGTATTTTAAATGCAAAATTGATTTCCGTGCGCTCGAAAGACTTTTTTCTTTGCGAAACGAACATTTTCTCCACAAACTCAGATCGCGCGCATGCAAAATGCACTTTTGTGCGCTCAAAATATGATCTTTCGCGCGCAGAATTGTGGCAGAAATGTAAGCCCATACTCATCTGCCAACGTGAAGGACAGTCTCACAAAAATATGAATGAAATTATATGGAAATAAATGGTTGTAGGCTTTAGCTTCAGTAATTAATACTATATCAAAAATAAAGAGCCGATAAATGATTACGTATCTATAATTTCCAACAGTTGCAGTAAAGTTTCTCCAAATGTATGAGTTCAAATTAGAGTTTTTTGTCTAACCTCACGCCATGCATAATGACATGTATCTTAAAATACATAATACTACATGAATATGGAGCCAGAATGATCTCAATCATAATTCACGCAAAAGACGCGATGCACACATGCGTAACCCAATTCACATACATGAGAAATAATTCACGTGCACGAAAAAAATATATATATTCACAAAAACCAATTCACATGCACAAAATAAGAATATATATTCATAAAATACGTTTCACAAATGCAAAACACAATTCACAGATGTACAAATGTGTAAAAAAATGTTGAATGTTAAAAATTCACGAGTTTATCATGGGCTGTGGATGTGAATCGCCTTGGATTTGTGTGTGAATTTTGAGACCTTCCTGGCAGCGAACTCCTGCCAGCGGGACACTCGTACTCTTTAGCCAATCAGATTTGACTCTGTCTGTCGACCAATCATAACCCACTGTGGGCGTATTAATCGCGTGCCCTGGGCGTGCCTACCTGGATGCTGACGTCATCAGCGCGAGACCACCGTTCAAGTTATGATTTAGCAGAGGTAAGTGCAGTTGATCGTTTTATTTGAGTCAACTAGCCAAGTAAAGGTTTATCGTTTTATTTTTGCATGTTTACTTAAACTTGGAAGTAAAATTGGTCGTTTAGACACTCAAAAATGTGAATAATGTAAGCCAGAGGCTGCTATGAATACATAGTGTTCCCAAAAATGCAGCTGTCTTGTGTTAGCCACAATGTCTGGCCAAAACGAAGAAAGGGATTATACTCATTGCCGTTTTTGTTCACGAACACTGGGTGGCCAATGTCCAGCCTAGCTCCCACTTAGGCTAACCCTGCCCTCATAACCATAGCTTTATACTGAAGAATAGACCTGAGAACTCAGTGTATGAACAACGGGATGTTTGTACTTACCATTTGTGCAACAGGATACAGTGTTCAATTAATACACACTAATTGTTTTCCTTGATTTTTCAGGATTTAAACACTTTGGCATCGGGATGACAGTTACAGACGTCTTCATTCACATTAATCTTTATCTCTTTCATGTACATCACCTTTATGTATTCATTTCTTAATGTAATCAACATTCATTTACTTTTCATATTATATTACTGTGATTAACCATTGTTAATGTTATTCTTATGTTGTGTTGTGTATTGTAATCTCAAAGATTTTTTACATCACAAGATGATTTTGGTAAGCAGCAGTTGTATTTGCTTGGTAACAGTTGTGGAATTTATGCTGGTCAGACAAAGACTGATCATAAAGAAGAATGCAACAAAGATTATTCAGTAATCTTTATTCAGTTATTTTATCACTTTATCTCATGCTTTCTGCTCTTTCTGTATCTGCATCTCTTGTAAAAATATAAGAGTTAACATGCCAAGGTGTTAACTGCTTTGAATATCAGACCAAAACCTGGCACGTCCTGACAGAGAGAGATAGTGAAAGACTGGATCTTAAACATTTGATTAATTGACTTTTCAACTAGCCAAGTAAAGGTTTATCGTTTTATTTTTGCATGTTTACTTAAACTTGGAAGTAAAATTGGTCGTTTAGACACTCAAAAATGTGAATAATGTAAGCCAGAGGCTGCTATGAATACATAGTGTTCCCAAAAATGCAGCTGTCTTGTGTTAGCCACAATGTCTGAAGAAAGGGATTATACTCATTGCCCTGTTTTTGTTCACTAACTCTGGGTGGCCAATGTCCAGCCTAGCTCCCACTTAGGCTAACCTTGCCCTCATAACCATAGCTTTATACTGAAGAATAGACCTGAGAACTCAGTGTATGAACAACGGGATGTTTGTACTTACCATTTGTGCAACAGGATACAGTGTTCAATTAATACACACTAATTGTTTTCCTTGATTTTTCAGGATTTAAACACTTTGGCATCGGGATGACAGTTACAGACGTCTTCATTCACATTAATCTTTATCTCTTTCATGTACATCACCTTTATGTATTCATTTCTTAATGTAATCAACATTCATTTACTTTTCATATTATATTACTGTGATTAACCATTGTTAATGTTATTCTTATGTTGTGTTGTGTATTGTAATCTCAAAGATTTTTACATCACAAGACGATTTTGGTAAGCAGCAGTTGTATTTGCTTGGTAACAGTTGTGGAATTTATGCTGGTCAGACAAAGACTGATCATAAAGAAGAATGCAACAAAGATTATTCAGTTATTTTATCACTTTATCTCATGCTTTCTGCTCTTTCTGTATCTGCATCTCTTGTAAAAATATAAGAGTTAACATGCCAAGGTGTTAACTGCTTTGAATATCAGACCAAAACCTGGCACGTCCTGACAGAGAGAGATAGTGAAAGACTGGATCTTAAACATTTGATTAATTGACTTTTCACATGATGTATTACACTGATACAATTATCATTCAGCCATAACATTTACTTTAAAAGAATGCCAAAGACTCTAAATGAGACACTATACCAGCTATTCAGTGTAGCTGAGGTTTAAATACTGGTGAACTTCTAGCACAGCGTCAAACTGGTATCGAGCCAATCTCAGACCTATGCGAGAGACATATATTCAACTGTGCTACGTTTGTACTCCATAATTGTCAATTCATATTTCATGTTACAGGCACATTGCAATTAATCATGGTCAGGTCATTTCATGGACATTTTATTCCCAAAGTATTCAGAAAACTTTAATAAATTAATAAATCTTATACAGCAACTGTAACAACTGACTTGTTTTGAATGTTTTAATTCTGACATAAAACCAGAACAATAACAAGAACATTTAACAATGCATACACCATTACACGTTGAACATGTACAAAGTTATGGGGTCCTGTTATAAACAAAACAACAAATGTAGTAATAATGCATGACTTAAAAAGCTGTTGAAACTCAAAAAGAATGGGTTGCAACATGACTGTTTTGAAAGAGTTACAGTTCCAAATGAAACTTCTAGATTCACATCAGCTCATAACTTGTGGCAGGGGATGAAGTAGGAACAGTCTCAGCAGCTACTTATGGCGCTTTGCCACTGCGTGGTATGACTCGGCTCGGCACGGCTCAGTACGGCACGGCACGGTTCGGCTCGGGACGGACACAAGACAAGCTCTGCTGTGACAGCTCTTTCATATTCTCAATAAACAAAAAGTATATTTTCATAATCTTATATTTATTTACCACATGTCCCATCAGTAAAAACATTATTTTATGCTTTACACTGAGTTTCTGAATCTAATATCTTAATGTGGTATGGTATCCACGTGGATAATGATTCTTTATTAAATAAACATAAGAATTGATCAATATTAAATCATTATACTCTAATCAGCAGCCGCTGGCTTACATTGTTCATGTTAGCGAGTGTCTAAACGACCAATTTTACTTCCAAGTTTAAGTAAACATGCAAAAATAAAACGATAAACCTTTACTTGGCTAGTTGACTCAAATAAAACGATCGACTGCACTTACCTCTGCTAAATCATAACTTGAACGGTGGTCTCGCGCTGATGACGTCAGCATCCAGGTAGGCACGCCCAGGGCACGCGATTAATACGCCCACAGTGGGTTATGATTGGTCGACAGACAGAGTCAAATCTGATTGGCTAAAGAGTACGAGTGTCCCGCTGGCAGGAGTTCGCTGCCAGGAAGGTCTCAAAATTCACACACAAATCCAAGGCGATTCACATTCACAGCCCATGATAAACTCGTGAATTTTTAACATTCAACATTTTTTTACACATTTGTACATCTGTGAATTGTGTTTTGCATTTGTGAAACGTATTTTATGAATATATATTCTTATTTTGTGCATGTGAATTGGTTTTTGTGAATATATATATTTTTTTCGTGCACGTGAATTATTTCTCATGTATGTGAATTGGGTTACGCATGTGTGCATCGCGTCTTTTGCGTGAATTATTATTGAGATAATTCTGGCTCCATACATGAATGCATGGTGTCAAAGTTCAAACAAGCAGGATACACATGGATGTAGTTGTATAAAGTTTATTTGTGAATGTGACAAAATGACATTGAGATCAGTCTGTCTAATCCACCAACTGCATGTCTTTGTCTCTGAGCTCTTGATGTTCTTCAGACAGTGTGTCTGTGACCGTCTCCTCTGTGAAGCTGAACTCCGTGTCGACCTGTTGCTCCCCCTCAGTGGCATCTGTGCTCTCGGCACAGCTGTTCGAGTCCTCGTAGGCCTCTGGAGGCATGTGGCGGCGGATGGTGAACGCTGTCGAGAGTTCCTGTAGCCGAGCTTTCTCTGCCTTCAGGTTGGCGAGCTCTTTGGTCAGCGGCGTCGCATCTGCGGGAGACTGACAGGTTGGTTCAATGGGGGCGTTTGGATCTTGAGTGACCGCTTCTATTGAGACTGTTACTTCCTCTTTAGGTACTGCAACTTCCTCTGTAGTTTCCGCAGTAGTGATTGGCTCAGTAGCAGCTGAGTCTTCGGCTCCAGGCTGTTGGGACCCGTGGAGCTTCTGATACAGGGTTTTCCTCTCATCCTGAAGTGCTCTACAGAGATTCTCCAGTTTCTGGGTCTTCAGCGTGATGAGTTCAAACTCCTTCTCCTTCAGCGCTTTCTACATGAGAAAATCTCGATCATATTAATCTGCATCTACTAGAAAGACTCAGCAATACTATTTGGGTGAAGATTCATTCTCTTGATTCTCACTGTACAGCTAGTGGTTGTTAAATTCTTAAACATGAAGGTTTTTTGTTAGCATCTATGGTTCCATGAAGAACCTTTAATATCCATGGAACCTTTCCATGGCACAAAAGGTACTTTACAGTGGAAAACGTTTCTTTAGATTATTAAATGGTCAAAAAAAATGGTTCTATTAAAGGGGTCATATGATGCGATTTAAATTTTTCCTTTCTCTTTGGAGTGTTACAAGCTCTTGGTGCATAAAGAAGATCTGTAAAGCTGCAAAAACTAAAGTCTCAAATCCAAAGAGATATTCTTTATAAAAGTTAAGAGTCAGCCACGCCTACCTAAAACGGCTCGTTCTAACACGCCCCCACATATGTTCCTCAATATGTGGGAAGATTTGCATAACGCCGCCCAAATGTTCACGCAAAGAAAGAAGGCGTAACTTTTATTCTCACTGTAGTATTGTTGCTGCCGCCGCCGCCATGTTGTGAAGGCGCTGTGTTTCGTTGTGAAAGCGAAACTACTTTGTTTGCACATGTGGTTGCCGCAAGCCCGCCGGAGGCTCCTTCGTCGAATCCGCCGCCTCTGCGTTCCTCACTTTATCCCCCGGCCGCCGCTCACTCTAGGCCACCGTGTGTGACACTGTGTTTCGTTGTGAAAGCGAAACTACTTTGTTTGGTCTTCCAAAAATGGACGATATCGCTTCGTCATGCCTGGAGCTGATCCGTGCTGGTCGCTGA